AGGCGCTGAGCCGGCAATTACATTACATTCAATTTTTTCCTTTCCTTTTCTTTAAGAGCTGAGTTTCACAAATGGTCCAGGTAGTTTTCATTGTAAGAAACAATCACAAACCATGTTGATGAAAAATTGATTTTCTAAAATACCTAGGGCACATTTTAACCTATAATTCTAATTATAATGTTTTAAGTTTTGCTGAGAGTGTATTTGACCTACTCAGTCTTTTGAATCCTAGTTTGTTACATAGCATTAGTTATCCTCCTACCTTAAGACAACTGAAAATTTGATATTCAAGTCATTAATAAAAATGGTGGCTGGGCTCTGTGGCTCATGCCTGTAATTCTAGCACTTTGGGAGGCTGATGCAAGAGGATCACTTGAGGCCAAGACTTTGAGACCAACCTGGGCAACATTTTATATCAAGACACCATCTCTACAAAAAATGTTTTTAAATTGGCTGGATGAGGTGGTACACCTCCCTATAGTCCCAGCTACTTGCAAGGTCAAAGCAGGAGGATTGCTTAAGCCTAGAAGTTTGAGACTACAGTGAATTATGATCATGCTACTGCACTCTAGCCTGGGTGACAGGGCAGAACCCCAACTCTTAAAAAAAATTTTTTTTAAACACAGTAGAGTACTGAGGATGTTATCCATTCTACAAATCTTCTCCCCTTTAGACTGACCCATTTAGCAACATACTTAAATGTATTGTAGATGAGAATGTAAGATATTAATGCTCAACATGATAAAATCAATGAAGAATGATTCATATTTTCTTAATATGATAAAATACAGAGGGTGCCAAAAATATATATAAACATTTTAGGAAAGGAAACAACTATGTTAAAAAATTGTAATATTCAAACATATGCCAATATCAAAAGATTAATATTAGTGACAATGAGCACCTCTTATTGCAGGAGTCAAATGTGACTTGAGTATAACAAATTTAATACATTTTTTCCTTTCTTAAAATGTGTGTGCTTGCTTCGGCAGCACGTATACTAAAATTGGAAAGATACAGAGAAGATTATCATGGCCCCTGCGCAAGGATGACACGCAAATTCGTGAAGCGTTCCATATTTTTAGCAAAGTATCACAAGAATGGAAGAAAAAGTATCCAATGTACACAGCCCTCATATGAAAGCTATAACCTAATTATAGCCTAAGAATATGGGGAGGGAGTAGGGGAAGGAGGGGGGAGGAGGAAAGTGGAGGGAGGGTGATTGGTGGGATCACCTCTATGGTTTATCTTACAAGGGTACAAGTGAATCTTTCTAAGAGTAGAATATAAATGTCTTAACACAATAACTAAGAAAATGACATAAAGGCTATGTTACCCAGTTTGATGAAAATATTTCAAATTGTATATGAAAACACCACACTGTACCCCATGATTGCATTAATTACACAGCTATCATTTAATTAAAAAAAAAAGAAATTGAAAAAAAAATGTGTGTCCATTTTTTTGGCATCCTCTGTATATATCCATTAGTTCTAAATCCAGTATCTTTTTAAACAGAGAAACTACTAGAGACATTACTACTAGGATCCAGGAATAAGATAAAAATGCCTACTATCTCTGCCACTACTCATGTGTATTAGATTGCCAGCTAATACAATTAGACAAGAAAAATCAGTTCTAAAAATAAGATTGTGTGGAGAAACTGGCAAAAGTTGAATAAAGTCTACAGATTAGTGATAGATCAATGCTACTTTCGATAACTACACTATGGTAACATTACGGGGAGCTGACTAAAGGGCAGACAGCGAGGTTTCTTTACCTTGGCACTACTGGCACTGGAAGCTGGAAAATTATTTGTGTGGGGTTTTGTCTTTTACAATGGAAGATCTTTAGCAGCACCTCTGCCTTCTTCCCACAAGCAGCAACTTATCCACCCCCTAAGCTGTGACAACCAAAAATGTCTCCAGATACTGCCAACTATCCACAGAAGGGGTAAAATCATCTTCAGCTGAGAACTACTGGTACATAGGAACTATTTTTGCACCTTCCCTGAAAAACCTAAAATTACTGAAAAACAAAAAGATTTTTAAAAAGTGAAATGTTCAGGTGTAAGTGAAAACTGTCGCTACCATTACGGTAATCTAAAACACGATTGCATCTTTAATTCTTAAAAAAATATAAAAAGGTATAACAAAGCACCACCTAGGATACTTCAACAAAATGTATTTCAGAAGGTAAAGTTCCTAAAAACAGAAAAAAAATAAAAAATAAGGCCTTTCGATTTTAGGGAACTTTGTTTTCTAGCATCAGTATAGAAGACCTCTGCGTGCTGACCCACCTCTTGGTGTTCATTGATGCCTTCATCATCCACTTATTAGTGAGAGGATCAAACATCTCCATGCTCCCTAGGTGCTCATTCCCATCATGTCCACCTACTGCATACACTTTACCTGTCAAATAAAGAAGCATTTTCATTTGATTCCAAGTAAATAAAATAATATTAACATTATTTACTATGTCTGTAAACAACTATATAGAGCAAAATGTCACCATAAATTTTCTACAACTGCTGTTTCATTCAACATTATGATCCATATCATTTCAGTAGCTACAAGAAAAATCAGTGCTAGCTTCCACTAAACACACTGTTTTACCCGAAGTTATTTAAATGCTCAAACATGATCCCCTTATTTCCCAACTTTTGACTACTTTGTAGATGAAATCACAAACCATGTCTCAAAGAATGTTTATTAAGATGAACAATGCTCAGTGTTATATAAAGAAAATATAAAAGCGTTCATATGATCAAAATTTTTGTAAATGAAACAAATAAGATGATTTTTACTTATTAAAATGTATTTTACTATTGGTTTTAAAGAGTATATATACTTTTATAAGAAAAAATCGAATTCTTTAAAAGCTTTCTAACAATTTATCCATAGTTCTATATTAATTTTCAGTCATAAGTAAAAAAACCTAATTTCAGTAATAATCAGATAGGTATAGAAAAAGCTGATACACAAATATACTTAAGATTTAGGTTCAATAAACATTTTTCATTAGTTTTTTTTTTGTAAGTATTACTCAGAATAGTTTGACTCTTCATCTCCCGTTTCTCTGACATTCATTTCTACACGATACACCGTATGCAGCAGACTGTACACTGAGCACAGCAGGCACAAAGGAAATAATCACTACCCAAATACTTTATTGATATATTCAAATAAATATTTCACAATTTAGCAATCGTCTCTTTTAAATTTTTATTTCCTATTTTTTCCCTACATGTTGAAAGCAATTTTCTTATCTAGAGAAAGAAATTCTCAAAGTTTAAATACTTTTTTAAAAAAGAGCACTGTGGTAATGTGATTGTGGTAAAAGGTGAAAGAGAAACCAGAGTATGTGTGAGGTGATTTTAGAGCACAGAGGTTCTACCTTCCACAGAGATCACACCCACGTGTCGCCTCCGGCTATTCATTTCTGGCCCGAAGAACCAGCTGTTTTTGTTGATGGAATAGCATTCGATACTGCGGAAGGGGTCCCCAGATCCACCTCGACCACCTACACAAAACAGCACACCTGAAGGCGAAGCCACAGAAAGAGAGATCAAAATCACATCTGCCAATTTTTTTCTAAATTAGTGTGGAAAAACATTAAGAAAGTCAAAACTGTTTAATTTACTGATTAATCTTTAAAGTGCGTCTTTCTTTTTTTTTTTTTTTTGAGATTACTGGAACATCATTAACTATGTACTATGAAGAAATTAATGTTATATATAAAAGGCTTTACCAAAGTCCAGTAAATAAACACTACTCAAATATAGACTGTAAGCCAAAATGTGTCTGTGTTATGACATTGACATTAACTGAAAATGCAAATACGCTACTAAAGTCTACACCAATGGAACTGGATGAGTGCTAAGCACGTAATTTTAAAATACAACTAGTTTTCAGTAAAAAAAGAAAGTCAAAACTTTGAGTAATAGCCAAAGAGAGAGAGAGAAAGAAATGATTTGGATGCACTTATCTAATTCTCTCTTTCCCTCTAAATTGGAACTTCCCATTACAATGGTTTAGATCCTCATCTACTGTGTAAAATTGCTCTTGCTAATGTCAAAACCAACTCCTAAGTTAATTCTTTACTAAACACAAGTGGAACATGTGATATACTGACCATCCTGTTTGGGGGAAACATCTTACTTTTCTGATTTCTATAAAATCAAAGTCTCCTTTTGTCTCCAATCACTTTTCTTCTTTGTTTTCCATGTTCCATCCCAGCCTGTTTCTCACATACTGTGCTGACACAGGGAAAGTTCATCCCTGTGAACTTCAGATTCCATCTATATCACTGCCTTTCACTCTACATTCTTTTTTTTTTTTTGAGACAGAGCCTCATGCTGTCCCGCTGGGCAGAATGCCGTGACGTCACAGCTCATAGCAACCTCCAACTTCTGGGATGAAGCGATTCTCCTGCCCCTGCCTTCCAAGTAGCTGGGACTACAGGCACCCACCACAATGTCCGGCTATTTTTGGTTGTAGCCATCATTGTTGTTTGGTGGGCCGGGGCTGGATTCGAACCTACCAGCTCAGGGTAGGTGGCTGGCGCCTTAGCCGCTTGAGCCACAGGTGCCAAGCCCCACGCTACATTTCTAAGTCATAAGTCCATTTGATGACCCAAGGTCACCTCAAACACAACATGTTCAAAAGGAAACAACCTAAACCACCTCTTCCTTCCCTGTGGCATCCTATCTCTCCCTCTCTATTCCCACTGCCACTATCAGTTTGAGCCTCATCACCTACTATCCAACTACAGCAAAATCCTGTCCTCTGTTAGCACTTAGTAGTCTTTTTGCTTTCAGACTATCAACAGAGCAAACTGATTAAAAGGTTCTTTCAACTGCTTTCTATTACATCAACAGCTCTCAAAAACGTTAGTGAATGCTACTGAATCATACACTTAAAATGACAAATTCTATGTTATATATACTTTACCACAATTAAAAAAAATTTTCACTGTAGTGTAATTCAGAATTACTGGGAGGGCATAAAATCAATTGCTGGGACTGACTCCCAGGTATTCTATGAACTATTACCCTTTATTGTTGTTCTTAGACCATTTCACAAACCTCATCTGTAATAATAACTGCATATTAGGTAGCAGCAAATATGGAGGAAGTTTCTATGCAGAGTTCTTCTTCCTACGTTTCTGGACTAAATGTAACTCTTCACAAATATTTAAAAAGTAAGTGAACATTAATTATTTTCTTGGGAAAATATAAAGTCTAAAAATTGTGGCAAATAAAGGTACAACTGCATACCTTCATTTATACCTTTATAAAGGTAGAACTGAATACCTTCTACACGCCAGGCGGTAGTGCTAGTCCTTGTCAGCGCAAGGTTGATACTTGATACACAGGTTATGCTTGATACACAGGTGTCTTAACCTAGCTTAGATTCCAGTGACAGATGTTAGCACAATAGATCATACTAAACAATAGATCATCATAATAGATGCTCTAAAATAGAAGAGCTATAGATTCTAAGAATTTAATAAAGTCTGTTATACAACTGTTAGATATGTTAGTGCCGTTCTTTTGACTTGGTAAAATGTAAAAACAAATATTTAAACATATATTTCAAACTTCATACTTGGCACTAGAGATAAAATCTAAAAAGAATAATCATCTTTGAAGAGCTCAAGACACATCAAATGAATAAATTACAACACAACATAATAAAACAGATTCAAACAAAGTGATTCAAAATCACAAATAACAGGGGCTAATTTTGCCTACAAAAATCAGGAGAAACTTCAAAGGAAGAGATATTTCAGCAGGTTCTTTAGAATAGCGCTTGCTATGGCTTTTATAAAAACTGGCTTATCAGTAAAATGATGTAAATCATGTACAGTAAGAATTGTGAACATACAGGTAAAATCTTATTTACCAACTATTCCTCTAAGGCAATCAGACACTAATTATCTAACAGTTAAGGTTGAGCATATATAAACACCCTCAAATACAACAAAGCTCCCTCCAGAAGCGTTAACAAAACAGGTGATTTAATTACCAGCAGTGTGCTTCCTGGGGGTGGTCCGCACAGAGTATTCAAAGTCAGGTACTGCTCTGCTACTCAAATGAAGGTGGTAATTTCTTGCTTCGTCCAGTAAATCTCTACATTTCAGATTCTGCTTAACAATCTGTTCTTTTGCCACCACACCCATGAGAAAATCAACTGGCAACAATGGCAGACGAACCTACGATCCACAAATAATGGCAACATAAAACTCAAGTGGTAGTAGGGTAGTTAGTTCTCCACTTTCACAGCAGTATGTTGTCTTTTTAACTAGTAAACTCAGAAAGCCTTCCTAGCATGTTAATAATAAAATTTGATGTGTCAAATTCTACATAAATTCTAGTACTGGTCAACAGTAATGAAATCAGACTTCGTTAAGTATATCTGCTTTCTTTAACTATGGATTTAAATAAGCTAAATAAAATAATTCAAATGTCTTCATTTAAATTGCTTATTTACAAAAATGGTACTGACATAATAACAAGTCTCTTCGCTGCTAAAAGAAAGGCATGATCAAAACAAAATTGCAGTGGCTCGTGTCTGTAATCCTAGCACTCTAGGAGCTGAAGCAGGTGGATTGTTTGAACTCAGGAGTTCGAAGCCAGCTTGAGCAAGAACCAGACTCTATCTGTAAAAAAATAGCAGAGCATTGTGGTCGGTGCCTATAGTCCCAGCTACTAGGGAGGGTGAGGCAGGAAGATCTCTTGAGACCAAGAGTTTGAGGTTGCTGTGAGCTACGATGCCAGGGCACTCTACCCAGGGCAACAAAATGAGACTGTCTCAAAAAATGAAACAAAACCAACCCATCCCACAAAATTGCTATGCTTCTTTTGTCTCTTTAAGCTAAGATTGAACATAAGGAATTGTGATTTATTTCTTACTTAAAAACATGAACATTAGGCTGGGAGCACATCTTAGGTGACTCACATCTATAATCCTAGCACTCTGGCAGACCAAGGCAGGTGGATTGCCTCAGCTCAGGAATTCGCAACCAGCCTAAGCATGAGTGACACCTTGTCTCTACTAAAAATAATAGAAAAACTAGCCAGGCATTGTGGTGGGCACCTATAGCCCCAGTTACTCGAGAGGCTGAGGCAAGAGGATCTCTTGAGCCCAAGAGTTTGAGGTTGCTATAAAGTATGATCCCATGGTACTCTTAACCCACCGCAATGGAGTGAGACTATGTCTTCTTAATTTTTTGAGACACAGTCTCGCTTGTTGCCCTTGGTAGAGCGCCATGGCATCACAGCTCACAGCAACCTCAATCTCTTGGGCTTGAGCAATTCTTTTGCCTCAGCCTCCCAAGTAGCTGAGACTACAGGCTCCCGCCCAGCTACTTTTTTGTTGCAGTCATTTAGTTGGCCCAGGCCGGGTTCAAACCCACCACCCTTGGTGTATGTGGCTGGCACCATAACCACTGTGCTATGGGCACCTAGCCGAAACTATGTCTTTAAAGAAAAAAAACATAAGGCTGGGCGCAGTGGCTCATGCCTATCCTAACACTCTGGGAGGCTGAGGTGAGTGGATTGCCTAAGCTCAGAAGTTCAACATCAGCTTGAGCCAGAGCCAGAGCCAGAGTCAGAGTGAGACCCCTAGCCAGGTATTGTGGTAGACACCTGTAGTGTCTCAGCTACTTGGGAGGCTGAGGCAAGAGGATCACTTGAGCCCAAGAATTTGAGGTTGCTGTAAACTAGGATATCACAGCACTCTACCAAAGGAGACAGTGAGACTCTGTCTCCAAAAAAAAAATGTACATTCATATCTGAAACAAGTGTTGTTTTCCTCAAATCAATGATCTTGGAAGGCCATATACTAAGAGATGCATACCCTTTCAACAGAGCCATTCACCATGCCTCTTAAAGATACACTGATTTCCTAGACACTTAAAGGGATAATCAAATCAAGTAACACCGTTTTGAGTTAAAAGCACATACACGGGGGTTGAGTCCAACCTCTTTCCCCCACTACAGTGGTTCACATAACCATTGCCATGGCCTCTCTGAATAAAGTCTGCTTTACTGTCTTAAAAAAAAGAAAAAGCTCACACACACAAACCGGATATGGCTGCAAGATAATGACACTTTTTGTTTGCTTTGTTGACAAACTTATTTTCAAAATAATTCCTTTTTTTTTTTTTCTAAAGAGACAAAGTCGTGCTCTGTAGTCCAGAATAAGAATGTAGTGGTGAGATCACAGCTTCCTGGTGACTCAAATCTCTGGATTTAAGCAACAGTCCTGCCTCAGCCTCCTGAGTAACTGGGGTTACAGGTGAATGTCACCACTTCTGGCTCAAATTAATTCTAAGAGAGAAGACAAAAAGGTGTTCTGAACTTTGATAATCATATGAATGCATATGGATTGTTATATGCAATTGAAAAAATATCAGTCCCATAATAATCACACTTCAAATAGGTTACTTCATCTGCCTACAAATATCTAAAATGAGAACACTGGTAATTCTAAGTAATTTCATTCTTCTTAATATTTGTTAAAATTTTTGGTAACACGGTTTTATGTTTTTAAAATTAGCATAATTACCACTGGGTGCTTCTCTCAAGTGCAAAGTTTTAACAAGGCACTTACTTTTGAAAAAAATAAGCAAATAAGAACACTCTTTTAAGTAGCATCATTTTATTTCTTTGAAATAAACTAAACAAGGCAGGAACAAAAGAAAAAAGGGAGGGGGAACGGAAGGGGCAGGGGAGGGGAGGGAGAGACAAGACATAGACTCCAAAGGGCCTAGTTATTACTTTATTCTCCAGCTCAGCAACCCCTGTTGACAGTAAACACCAACAACGAGACATTTTTGAGTCAAACTGTGTGACTCCATATGGTTTTTTCCAGACTCAACCTATAAGCATTAGGTATTCCTAATTTCTAAAGAGTATACTTTCATTAGCAAAATAATTCATTAAAATTTAGAAACAGCACAAAACAGTAATTATAAGTTATATTAATTTACAGTTGTTTCTTCAGACTATTTTCTATTAGCATAGATAAAATATTCATGACTGCTATTTCAAACAAGTATTTTAAATATTCAGGTTAAAAAGCAGGGAATGACATCGCTAATTCAAATGTGACAAATTTAAACTTATTCTGAAATAGTATAGCAACTGAATAGGAAATTCAGAGTTAAAGCCATTTCATTATTGTATCATATCAATGATTTTCATATTCCTTCAAGTAATCTACACTTGTTATAACAAGTGAAACAGGCTGGTTTGCATCCTACATCACTTTATTTCTATACACATTCCTATTTCAGCCCCTACCTGTGCAAGTGTTTCATCCAACCATTTGGAATGATGCTGAGGATTGGCCAGAAGCCACTTGATGGCAGCACTATAGACCTGCTTTTCATTCTCAATGTTTAGATCACTGGAGGACAAAAGCTTATGGAGGTGCTGGGGTGACACACTTACGAAGTCTTCACACTCCACCACTTCGGTAAAATGCTCACAGGCATACTGATCTGCCATGTCCATTAAGTCTATTCGATTGTGACTTTCTGCAAAGGCTCTTACTGCCAGGCAATTGGAGGGATGAAAATGTAACTTCATGTATTCACAGCAAGCTTTAGCCACTAGTTCAACCTGCAGAATGCAGGCTGCATATAAGAGAGGTTGGACATTGTCAACAGTCAAAGTGAGCCGCGAAGAATAGACGAACTTGACCAAGTCTTCTATTGCATCACCATCAAAATCTCTGATCTCAATCAGTGTTTGTTTGGCTTCAGCCATTTCAGAGAGAAACATGGCTCTGAAGTAGGGGATAACACAAGCCAATACCAGCTTATGACAAGAGATTAGCTTGGAGCCAACCTGTTCAAAACAAACAAACCAAGAAATAATTTAATATCAGAATCAGCTTCAGATCAGCATTGAGCATGTATTGTAGCATGGACAAAAATTACAGACAGAGAAATTTAGAATATTTGTTTTAATAATGTAATCTTTTGGTCATTTACTTTTAATCTAGGCCAGTTTCTTAAAGTCAGGCAATTTTTTTTTCCTTCCAAATAAGAGACTTATCTTTTATACACATATCTACACATATAAAACTGTGGTTTTGTATATTATCTCATATAATATTTCAGAAGCATTCTGTGAATTAATGAGAACAGCAAATACAATTTGGAATTTATTATACGCCAGGCATTATCTAAGTGTTTTTCATACACTTAATTAATTCTTCCAACACCCCTCCAAGTAGTATTATTCACAACTTACCAATCAGAGCACAAAATCAATTAATCAATATTTAGTAATATTTACTATAAGCTCAACTGAGGTGTCTTTATTTCTATCTAAATTATCTTGAAATTATATATTTCATATAAAAACAGTAAAAAAAAAAAAAGCCCACTAAAATCTCACCACATTAACTGTTGAAAAATTAGACTGCTTCCAACAGTGTGTCAACAGAGCAGTGAAATTCTTTGTAACTAAGTATTTATTCACAGTCTCTGTTATTCCCTACAGATGAATCACTGTGAGTAGAAACGCCACTGTAATGTATAGGTACACGGTAAATACATACTGCCAAAGTGTCCATTTCTAGCTACTTAGAGTATTTACACCCTGAGCGTTAACTTCATAAGAAACAGTTGCCAATTTGATGAACGGAAATATCTCATTAATTACATTTCTTTTATTAATAAGACTAAATCATTAATGTATTTTAGGCTATCTCTATTTCTTCTATGAACTATGAATTTTTTCTTATTTATAAGAGCTCCTCATACAATAAGAGTGTCATTTTTCATACACATTTCAAAACTCCTTTTCTCTCTCACACTGTAATTTGCTTTCAAATTTTATTCTCTCCCTATAGATTTTTGTATAGTCAAATCAATCTTTTTCTTTATGATATCTTCCTTAGGTACCACACTTGAAATGGGAATCAATCTGATATTCCATATTTACTACATGTATTTTTCTACTGTTTTATGGTATTATGTTTTACACTTAAATCTTTATTGACATCTGAAAGTTTTTAGCACTGAGTAGTCAGATAACTACCTTTTAATAAAGTATCCAGTTTCCCTAGCAGTTTACAATAAATAGTCAAGTCTAAATAATAGCTACGGGCTCGGCACCCATAGCTCACTGGTTAGGGCACTGGCCACATACAGCAGGGCTGGTGGATTCAAACCTGGCTCAGGCCTGCTAAACAACAATGACAACTACAACAGAAAAAACAGCCAGGTGCCTGTAGTCCCAGCTACTTGGGAGGTTGAGGCAAGAGACTCACTTAAGACCAAGACTTTGAGGTTGCTGTGACACCACAGACTACCGAGGGCAACAAAGTAAAATTCTGCGTCAAAAAAAAGAAAAAAGAAATAAATAAAAACTTAGAGTCTAGTTATTACTTCTCCTAAAATGACTAGATTCTTGTTTTCACTTAAGAAAGTTTATATGCAGTAGCTTACAACATTATTCTAAAATCTAATTTAAAAACTGATAAAACCAGTAAGATTTTATCTAAATATTTTTCATTCATTCATTCATGGATACACTGAACTGACACTGATCAAATTCAAGTAATCTATTTTACATTTCTTTTATTTTTGCCAAAGTCAGTATGGGTCACTAAATTTCACACGAGAGCTGAAAATTAGAACAATTGGCATCTGATTAAATACAATATGCCATATAGATCAGAAAACAAGTGTTCCTTCATTAAAATATACACATAGCTAAATTTTACACAGCGCTAGCAGAGTTATATAAAGCTTCTCTTGTTAGTATTTTAAGACCTAGAATACTTAGGGACACTAAGAATTTAAGGAAAGAGAATATGGGTTGGTTATCTACAGTGTAACATACACTTTGGGACCTAAAACTCCACACCTATGCTTCCAGTTTACAGGCTTTTTGCTGCGTGTCCCCCAATCTGATTCTTCCAGTATGTCCTCAATTCCCGTAACACTGTGAGCTCTAAGAAACTGTGTGAACAGGAACAGAAAGCAAAATCTAAGAGCGCCTAACACAGCAAATCTCATGAAGGAAAGGATGCATGGATACATATGAATCACCAAGAAAAGTGTAATATTGCACTGAGAAATAAGAATAAGAAAGTACTTCAAATGTGTAAAGAGTCAGAACACACGCTCTGCCACAATGCTTTACCACTTTCCCCTTTTATTAAAACTTTTTTTTTTAAGCAAAGCAACATGATCCTTTAAAGTTCATTGAAGATTTTTTCATCCAAATCTAGATAGACTATTTTACTATTAGGCATAGATAAACAATCTCCCTTAACACACGTATGATAACAATGAAATAGACGTTAAATTACCAGAATAGGGAAATACAGTAAAACACCAGTGTAGCCAAGTAAATAACCAAGAATTCCTGACTTCTAATTTGTATTAATAAGCAAATACATCAAGATATTTAAATTCATAGGTGAAAAACTTATCCAGTCAATGGAAATTTATTCATTTCACTAATAATAGCTATTTGTTGTTCCAGGGTTTCAGAACTCTAAGTTAAATTAATAAATAATGATACCAATGTTAAATTTGTACAGTAATTTTACCTTATGCTAATCCCTCTTGATTTGCTCTCCCTTACATCCCCTCCCCGTCAATAAAGAAAGATTAAGACTAAAATCTGACCATAACAAGTAAGTATAACACCAAAAATTTACCTTGCATAGTTATAGAAATCTCCATTTTTCTTTTTTTTTTGAGACAGAGCCTCAAGCTATCCCCCTGGGCAGAGTGCCATGGCATCACGCTCACAGCAACCTCCAACTCCTGGGCTCAAGCGAGTCTCCTGCCTCCGCCTCCCAAGTAGCTGGAACCATAGGCGCCCGCCACAGCGCCCGGCTATTTTTTGGTTGCAGCCGTCATTGTTGTTTGGCGGGTCTGGGCTGGGGATTCGAACCCGCCACCTTAGGTGTACGTGGCTGGCGCCTTAGCCGCTTGAGCTATAGGCGCCGAGCGAAATCCCCATTTTTCATAGTACACTGAAGAGGTTAAGAAAAATAAGAAAAAAGGCAGCCTTACCTTTAGGGTGACATCACAAAGCTCTCCATTTTCATAAAATCGAAGAAGAGAACCATGAAAATCTCTCCAAGCTTCATTTGCTTCAAAAATAAAAGAGTCCTCTCCACCACCATCACTAACTGAAGATCGGTTCTTGAGTTGCTGCTGCTGCTGCTGCTGTCTTTTCCCTTTTGTGAAGTGACTCCTAGCTTGTTTTCCATTCACAGAGTCTGAAGCCATTTGCAAAACCCTTCTATTAATATATCACTCTTCTCAAACATCCCATTTATTCTTTTTTAAAGGCTGGAGAGAAGACAGAAGGTAGATGTAGCCACTAAACTTTAGACATTTTCCAAAACCCATTCAAGTACCACTGTAGTTTGCTGTGATTGAAAAATCAACTATAAAACAGAGACAAGCCAAAAGGAAAAAAACTATTGTTAGCATAGTTTGCTAATACTACAGATGTAATAACTGTATCAATCATTATTTTAAAAAGGACAAATAACTGTAGATTTTATGCTAATTGTCACATAATTCAGCTAATTATTTCATATCAATAAAAAATTTTAAAATCCAATAGGAACAACTTAATAGGACATGACTTTGTGATGTGAAATGCACTATCTTCAAAAAGAGAGGCTACGAACTAAAAATTTTAGGTTTAGAGGCTTTATTCAGTGATGTAAGGCAAAACCAAAGTGATTTTGACTGAATTAGGTTCATCCTAGAATAGATTCTTAGGTCAGATAATGGTTCCACCATTTACCAACTGTCTGACTTCGTGCAAATGATCACCTTCTTACGCCTTTGCTATTTCTTCCATGAAACAGAGGTACCACTTAACTGGATATTCTGAAGATAAGAGATACTGTACGGCCAGGCATGAGAACTAGTGCATTGTTACAAAGATCTCATTTTGTTCACATTTCACATAGAATGTATTAATATTTACACATAAAATCACCATCAAAGCATATTTGGCAAATATCCACAGCATCAATAGTTCTATGCTACATTCTACTTTAGTAAAAAGAGCAAAGGACTTTAATGTAAAACATACATTCCATCACTTACTGGCTGGGAGATTTTCATGAAGGCTTTATTAACCCTCAGTTTCTTCATCTATCAACAGGGATACCTATCCACCTTGTTAACACTTGGCTGAGAATTGCATCAAATACAATAATGGGTTTACAAGTATTTATGAAGCCATAAACCATGTTGCAAATATGGATATTCTTAGAGTGGAAATGTCTGCAGTTTCAGAAAATTATAAACCCCTTCCCCAGGACATTAGCTGTATTAGGTTCTTTAATCTCATCATTTCCAGCTTTTGACAGGAACCAATATAATCAATGTAAGACTACAGATTAATGTTATTAATATCTTTCTTCAGGTTTTTGTGGCAGACACATGTAACAGTGACCCATCAAGGAGTAATGTCGTCATACATATAATCATATGCAGGAAGAACCTGCACACAGAGTGAAGGGATGTTACTCTTTTGTCTGTGTGATATAATGCTGTGTGAACAGACTGGAATGAGAGGCTCTCCTGCAGGCCTTTAAAAGCAAACTACCATGGAGAGAGCCATGTAGCAGGGAACTACAGGCAATCCCTAGGAACTGTATCTGATGGTCAGTTAAAAATCTAGAGTCTTCAGTCATACAGTTACAAAGGAAATAAATCTGCCATTGACCTGAATGAATGTGGAAGCAGATTTTTCCACAGTTGAGTTTCCACAAAAGCATGCAGCCAGGCCAACACCTTGACTAAAGCTGTGGGAGATCCCAAGCAGAAGATGCGACTGAGCTATGCCCAGACTTCTGACCCACAGAAACTGTAAGATAACAAATATATGTTATTTTAAGCTGCTAAATTTGTAGTAATATGTAGTAATAGAAAACTAATATGACATCTTCCGTTAGGTCTAAAATTTTATCTGAAGAAAGAATTTGTAGATATTCTGCCAGGTACCAACCACTGAAACATCTCTTTTAAGCTCACATTCCTGCTGCAAAACCAACAAAGACTATCTGGGATAAATAGAAAACAAACAGCACAATCAGGAATCAAAACCTTTTCTGAAAATGGCTTTGTGGGTCATACAATCTCATCATAACTACTTAACTCTGCCACTGGAGCACAAAAGCAGTCATAGACAAATAGTAAATGATTGAGCAAAGGTGTGTTCCCATAAAATTTTACTTATTAAAAAACCCTTAGTGAGATCAAATGGGAGGTCTAATTTGAGTTCTTTGATGATTCTCCATACTTCATTCCAAAGAGGTTGTATTAGTTTGCAGTCCCACCAACAGTGTAAGTGTTCCCCTCTCTCCACATCCACACCACCATCTGCAGCTTTGGAACTTTGTGATGTGGTCTAATCTCACTGGGGTTAGGTGCTATCTCAGCATTTGATTTGTATTTCTCTGATAATTAGGGATGGTGAGGATTTTTCTTGTGTTTATGTGTTTGTTAGCCATTTATCTGTCTTCCTCAGAGAAGGTTCTGTTCATGTCTCTTGCCCACTGATAGATGAGATTGTTTGCACTTTTAATTTGAGTTCTCTGTAGATTCTAGTTATCAACTCTTTGTCAGATCCCTGCAATCCTATTACTAGGCATCTACCCAGAAAAAAAAAATTATAGCATACGGACATTTGCACTAGATTATTTATCACAGCTCAATTTACAACTGCCAAGATACGGAAACAACCTAAATGTCCACCAATGCAGAAATGGATTAATAAACTGTGGTATATGTATACCATGGAATACTATTCAGCCATTTAAAAGATGGAGACTTTACATCTTTTGTATTAAGCTGGAAGGAACTGAAGCAAATTCTTCTTAGTAAAGTATCAGAAGAAGGGAAAAGCAAGTATCCAATATACTCAATACTAATATGAACCCAGTAGAAAATCTAATATATGCCCACATAAGAGAAAAACTCAATTCAATTCTAGTTGGCGGGGAGGGGAAACAAAAGATGAAAAGAAGGGACGGTGTGCTCCTACTTAATGGGCAAAATGTAAGGATATATGGCATACCTCTTGGGTGCAGAGCACAACTACAAGAGGGAATCTACTTGACAAATGCAAACACTGCAGTCTAGTTGTTTAAACCCTCACATTAACCCAAAATAATAAATAAATAAATAAAATTATCTAAAGAAAAGAAAAATAAATGCTGGGAAAGTAACCAGAATAACTGGGGGTGGGGGGAGACACTTAGTATGATTTAGCCCCTGGTCATAGTTTGGCAAACCCTTAGCAAGAGGGGTGATTTAAATCTAAGTATGTTAATAATATTTAATAATATTAAATATAAATGGACTAAAGACCTTCAATTAAAGGCAGAGACTCAGGAATACTACTCAGCAATAATAAGGACATGGTAATACAACATGTAACAACCTGGATGGATCTCAAAGAAATTATACTGAAGGGAAAAAACTATACTGCATAATTTTATTTATATAATACTCTTGAAACGGCAAAATTATACAGTAGAAGAACAGATTATTGGTTGCCAGAGGTTAGGGAACAATGAAAGAAGGGAAGTGGCTGTGGCTATAAATGAGTAGCCCAAGAGATACATGTGAAGGAACCATCCTATGTCTTGACTTTAGAAGTGACCACATGAATTTATACAAGTGATCACATACACATACAAACAAGTACATGTAAAATGGGTGAAATCTGAATAAGGTAAATACAATGCATTAATGTCAATCTCCTAGTACTAAAATTATGTTAGATGTTACCATTGAGGGAAATTGTGTAAAGGGTACACAAGACCTATTATTTTTTTTATAATCACAAATCAATCTACAATTATGTCAAAAAAAGAGACTTGTTGACCACCTCCCTACATTAACTGCCTCCTGAGACATTACTGGCCTCCTCCCTACATTAACTTGCCCACTGACAGATGAGATTGTTTGCACTTTTAATTTGAGTTCTCTGTAGATTCTAGTTATCAACTCTTTGTCAGATCCCTGCAATCCTATTAGTAGGCATCTACCCATGTTGGTCATGCCAACAGTAATTTTTAAAAAACTAAAGAATAATTTTTTAAAAACTAACATATATTATTAAACATAACAGA